CACCATCAAGACCCACTGACATAAAAAGGGGCACGCAGAAGAGTTTTAAAATGTTTCTAATCTTAATTTAGCCTTTTAGTTGACTCGATTTTCCAATGATGAAGATAAAGAGTAAAATCATAATATACCCGAGGCATTTACTGTTTTCGCCATATGCTCATCGACCTTATACTAAATCTATGGGTGTCAAATCAATAACATGCAGGAAAAAGGTCATTTTTAAACTCATTTAAACATTTGTCACAAGGGATGAAAATAGTTCTCATGTATTCAAAAAGGCAACAACACAGAGCCATATAGCAATTTGAGTAACTTATCAATACTAAGACAATATCGAATAATCAAAACACAAAAACAGCGATCTTATATTATACCAGTGGTGATACTCGAAGTTGCATTTATCTTCAGCAAATGCTCTGGTATATAAGTAAGACCTGTAATATCAAAATATAATTCCAATCATTAACCTCAGTTTTGTTCTTGGCAATAAGAGAGAGATAAAGATACAAAAGCCATTAAAGACATATTAGTTCTCTTATCATAGAGATTGACAGTACAGTATTTATCTAAAACAAACAGGATGCTACTAAGAGAGGAGTGTACTCTTTTAATAGTGCGATTTGGACCCTTTTTTTTCCCCTTTTATACTTAGACCAGGGGCAGACATTTTTTCATATGCATATCCAACAGTTGTACACAGTTGAAATGTTGAAAATAAAAATTGAATAGGATAGGGCCCTTTCATTGCAAGAAACCAAATTCCAGAATTAAATAAATAACAAAATAACATTCTTATAATTCACACGAAAAAGATATGCTGGGAAGAACCTTAATTCTGAGTAACAATTTTCCTTTCCAACACATTAAACACAAGATTCTTCTTTTAATTATTCATGAGATAACTTAAGAATCATATATCAAGTAATATTTTTTTTTTTTACTTTTAGGTGTAAAACAATCATTGTAGTAATACAAATTTTTTTCTGAAAAATTTGTCATGTCGTCGCGTCCGTGCCCAAAGTTTATCACTGTGCTTCACAGAAAGTCAGCCTCTGATATCCGGGTTGCATACGGTGAGATCCCTCATACTATGAAAAGTTGAGTGAAATTTCAAATTTATATGTAAGTGATTGCATACTGAAACCAATGTATCATAAATATGCAACTGTGAATTGTAAGAACCAGATACCCTTCAGAATCATCTTTTCAAGACACCTTCTAAAACAACCATCTGTAAAGTACCTTTCTCCTTTACATCAATCTGTAAAGAATCAAGAGAAATTATGCCATCCGTCAATGGAAGCACTTCAAGCTTGACAGCTGCCGTAGATTGAGATGGAACACATCTAAAGCAAGGATAGATAAACCTTGAGCGGATTAAGCTTTAAAACGAAAAAATGGAAGTAAAAAGGAAATTAGAGAAATTATATTACCCGAGAGGAACTCTACTCTGCAACCATAAATGCGTACAACCCTGATCAGCCGTCTGAAGGACATCAGCTACGGGGACAGGTTGCTCACTAAAAGAAGCTGATGGAAAACTACCTTCCACTTCCTGTCTGTGATTATTTGATACTGAGATTAGCCTCTGTTCAGAAACCTCTTGCTCATCTTTTGTCACTCTCTCTGCTAAGTTTGAAGGAACAACAAATGAACTCAAGGGTGATGACTGTGTATTGCTCAAAGAGACTGCAGGAGGAGGATAAGGATATGATGATGGGGCAAGAACTGTTAATGTTAGATCTTCGGATGTCATATTTGATGCTTGAAGAGTCAAGACCTGAAAATTTGAACCACTTAACTCGCAGTTTCAGAAGGAAAACTCATTGCTTGGATCGTATATTACCTGAACTGGAAGCTGAGTTATGTCCGACCCAAAAGCTTGTCTAGACAATTCAGATGAGACAGAAATCACAAGATCTCTTGAAAAATGAGGGCGCCAGCTTGTTGGCTGCTTGAAAAACAATTTTGATACTGCACATATGCAGATGAAACATAAACCTCATAAGCATAGAACTCCATGCACCAAGTTGCCCTTAGATAATACATAATTTAAGGCTCTGTACCAGTATAATTGCATCGACATGATATAAGAACTGCATAGTGATCGGGAGGGGATCCACTCTGTTTCCCTTCAATGCAGGAGTAGTAATGCAAACTTGAAGCCACATTTCCAGC